GGTGAGTCATTACCCGCCACCGGCTTCCTGATTGGCTGGGAAGCCATCTCCATGCTCCCTGTTGATGAGGGAGCATGGATCAGGCTTCCCGGCCAATCAGGGAGCCAGGCAGCGTGTAATGACGTTCGGGTATCGGGATAGGCATGGGGAGAATTGGGGTGAGTACGAGTAATACTCGGTATAGGTGCATACCTAATTAAGACAATGAAAACAGCTCAATAAAGGCAGCTAAATGCATTAAAAAAAATAGAAAGCATTTGGATATCAATTACACATTGTTTATTAAAGGATCATACATACTAACCTGTACACTGATGATTGGACAAGTATAAGACATTCTCCTTCTCTGGCAGGTCTCCATATAGCACTATCTAGGGTTAAAAAAAAAAAAAAAAGAGAAGCGGTTATTCAGCAAATATAAAAGATATATGTGTGCAAAGCAGAATTAAAGGGCTAATGGAGAATATATTAGGACCCCAACTTCAGGCTGGCTTCACATCTAAGCATTACAGTTACACATGATTGGTGGGGCCATTCATTTTAAAATAGTACTGCAGCATGTGTGCACTGAACTACAACGCACAAATGGGAAGTAGATGAGTTGCAGTGCTGTGTGAGAGAGTGAGTATGTGTCTATTTGTGTGTGTGTCTATTTGTGTGTATTGGCAGACCACAAAAAAAACACACACACACACACAAAAACGTGTGTGATAACACATCGACGCAGTATGAAGGGAGACAAACCGTATATATCTACCATCTCCAAGCAAGTTCTCCACCCCAAACTCACTCATCCATGTCTTTATGGACCTTGCTTTGTACACTGGTGCGGTCATGTTGGAACAGGAAGGGGCCATCCCCAAACTGTTTCCACAAAGTTGGGAATAGAGCTGCAGCTAACGATTATTTTCAAAATCGATTAGTTAGCCGATTAAACCCAGACGCGTCCATCGGATTGCCAGACAGAGAAGCATGATTCGTCACTCCAGAGAACACGTCTCCACTTCTCTAGAGTCCAGTGGCGGCGTGCTTTACACCACTGCATCCGACACTTTGTATTGCACTTGATGATGTACGGCTTGGACGCAGCTGCTCAGCCATGGAAACCCATTCCATGAAGCTCTCTACGCACTGTTGTTGTGTCAAACTGCAGGCCACAAAGTTTGGAGGTCTGTAGCTATTGACTCTGCAGACAGTTGGTGACTTCTGCGCACTGTGCCGACCCCGCTCTGTCATTTTACGTGGCCTACCACTTCGTGGCTGAGTTGCTGTTGTTCCCAGTTGCTTCCACTTTGTTATAAGCAAGTTGGCTTCCCCGGGCGCACAGGTCTCCCTGCAGTGATCGGAGAGAGACTCAGCGGCTTCCAGCCGCTGATCTCTCCTCTGATCACTGGACCCAGAAGTGATGTGTATTACATCACTTCCAGTGGCACTCTTACAGTTTTCGGGAGATGAAGCTAGGGAAGCAGATCTCTGCTTACTCAGCTTCTTTGGGGTCCCTAGATGACATTAGGGGTCCCCCGCCCCCCACGTGCACGCACACACGCATTGGTGCGCCTATGTGCAAAAACGACAATTGCGCCACACATCACAACACAATCACTGTTACCACTAAACAGAGGAGTGGTAAAAGCGTTTAAAATGTTCGCTATGGGAAATTTGGGGTATTTACTTTTTTTGCGGCTTCAAGGGCGAACGCAATTTTAAGTCGATACGTTTGGTATCTAATTTACGTGTCCCCGTCTTTCATATTTTACCAGAAAATTGGGTATAATATTTAGTTTCTGTGCACTAAATTTTAATTTAGTTTATTTTTTCCTAAAAATACTGGTCTGATAAACATTTTATCATGTGTGCGCAAATAGTAAGAAAACGCCCCGGACAGTAAGTGGTTAAATTACAAACAATAAGGTATCAGGGTGAACAGGTATATCACATCACATAACGATAACTTTACACGTATCTAAATAGAAGCATTTTAGAGACTTTCTGCATATTTGATTAGTACATTTCTTACCTCCGTGCGCATATAGCCTAAGAGTAAAGCAGGAACAAACAAACTGAGCAACGGTCTTCAACACTCTCTGTAGCAGACACTGATGCATATTGTAAAAAAAAGAAGCTACATATTCTATATATAGGATGCAAACCCCTTTAGAACTGTTCCCGGAATAGTGCACACAGGCAGCACCAACGTGTCTTTGGGCAGAGAAAATAATGAGTAGCTTGGAGGTTTCTATTATTGAAATGATGCTGCTAGCCGGAGGGCATGTTCCAGCATTTTCATGAAGAGACAACACGTTATTCTCTTATGGGCTTTTACTTGTAACTGATTATTATATTCTGTACTAATTCACGCCACTGAATGCAGAGAACCAACAAGTCGTTCCAAACAGCCACTCTTAAAATGCATATAAAAGTGGAAGCATTAACATGTGTTTCAAAGCACTAAGTTTTGTCAGCAGTTATTTAAAATTTTGCATGACTGCACATGACTAACTATGCCCTGAGTGAAGATCATTTTCACCTCATTTAGATCTCCATAGAGCAGGGGTGCCCACAATTTTGTGTTAAGATCTACCTTTCAAAATGACAACCTTGATGAGATCTACCAACGGAAATAAAACCCACCTGTATTTGAAATAGAAACGCATTAAAATGCTTACTGGGACTGGGGTATTTACAATCATATTATAGAAGTCACTTTAAGGACTTGTTCACACCAATTACAGTGTATCACATACTAAATTCCCCCTTGCGTTCTGGGGCGGGAGGAGGTGTGACTGTGCATTAAAGTCAATGGTCGCGCAGACAACTACCAACCCCCCACGAGCCAGCTAACCGCGCTGGAACGCACTGTATTTGGTGTGAACAAGCATTCTTCCCCCATGTTGACTGGGAAAGTGGGATGTCAGACACATAAAAAACTGTGTGTGAGAGAACTAGAGGAGGAACATAACTCAGACAGGTAAGATTAACCATCATACATGTGTGTGCATGCCTGGATTATAACTTAGGTTGCCAGTAGTAACCATCTGCTTCCTGGCTCGTGTCCGAAACCCCCGGCAGGGAGGAACAGTTTAAATGTGTCCAACGCTGCAGGCTGAGGGGGGGGGTCAAAATGTATTGGACACTTCAGGCACGGGAGGAGCGGTCCGAATGTCTCCGGCACTGCAGGCTGAGAGGGGCGGTCCCAATGTGTTGGATGCTTCAGCGTTTGACAGATTCAGCCGCACTAGCAGAGTAAGAGAGAAATCACGACCTGCGATCTACCAGTGTAAGTTTAGCGAGTGACTGGTAGATCGCTATCGACCTTATGGGTACCCCTGCCATAGAGGAACTGATAGAGACTTTTACTGACCAGAGGTGACAGAGTCAACCTCCTGGGGCAATGAAGTTTTACTTTTTATGCCAAGTGGGCTTTCAACACTAACGCCTCTTGCCATGACTATAACCAGGCATACTTACCCCCTTATTTTGCCTTGCGTATGAACATAAAGATTTGGGGAGCCAACATCAGATAAGCAATATTGCCGCAGTGCATACTGATGTTTTATGTATGTGTATAAGACTGTAGTGTGTCATGTTAGACATCTCATTTAGAATGAATGGGCTTTAATGCACCTCACACACAGAAATGCTGCATTCTTTTATTTTTAGCACAGTACACTGGCTCATCAAGTGTTATGGTGCACTTCATTGTATTGCAGCACATGTGCCTTCAGGTGGTATGTTAAAGTGAAAATAAAAATTAATGGCACCCCCATGGCATGCTGCATTGCGGTAATTCATGCATTTTAACACGCCTCACCACAACATGGTGGTGTGACCGAGCCCTTATTGTCAAAGTACACTGAATCACAATGGATATGATGGCTATTATTTATTTACAGTGATTAACAGAAACAGACTTTCACGTCACTGTGAAAATCAATCATTCTGCACAAACTGATTTAAAAATTACACTTTGTTTAAAATGACACGCCTAAAACCATCACACATACATAATCCTAGAAAAGAATGGTAAATACAGCCCGGCTATTTGAGGTAAACGACAACTTCTAAAGTGCGAGAATCCACAGTTGCAATGGATTTAGAACGGATTGTGTCTACAATAAACAGAAATCTGATTAGCTCTCATTTTGTACATGGCCACTGCCCTTCTCATTGCCTTAATGATCATCTCTAGCCATTTGTGTCAAATTACATTTTAACAGAAACCTTTACATTTGAAAGATTCAATGTCTCATTTAGAGCATTTAATAAAAAAAAAAAAAAAACCTCTTTGGAAGCTCTTTTTACATCTATTCAATAGTGTGTATAGATTGGCTTGGTACTTAAAGACCATTTCATTTAGTATTGATTCATTCTTTTATTGTAGTTTCCCTTAAAGTCCCATGAATTATAGAATTGACCAATATTCGTAGTTGAAACATTACTGCAGTTCCTCCACATAAAAATGACACATGTCATGTCCTGAGTCCAGACAAACAAGACAATGCTCTAATTGGAAAGTAAAAGACAATGGTGACGATTATAATAATACAAGAACCACCCCAAAAAAAACTTGGGACACTATGTAAAATCTACATAAAAGCAGAATGCAATGACTTGCAAAAAAGTTGGGACAGGGCAACAAAAACCTGGCAAAGTAAAGCTGGCCATACACCTTACCATTGTCTGCAGATTTTCTGTGGTCAGATGGAAAAGGTGCAACAGATTCCTCCATCTACACTTAACTGTGTTGATGGAGTAATCAGGCTGGGCACATACCTTACAACCATTGCAAGACTTTTGTCTTGCGATGGTTGTAAGGTTATTAAAAAAACATACGATCTGCCTATCTTGGACAGGCAGATCATACTTGCGATGATCGCAAGGCGCGCCCCCCTGAGGGACGGGCTTCCGATGACCGCAATGCTGATGGGGCAGGTCCGGCTTTTATCTAATGAACATGCTACACACCCGCCGAACATCGTACGATTCTCAGCGGGTTTTCGAACATGTTCATAAGATAAAAGTCGTGCGACCTTACAGTAGGAGAGGTCGCACGGCTTCCACAAACCTTACGATAATCGTACGATCGCGGGATTTCCCGCGATTATCGCAAGGTGTGTGGGCACTTTAAGGTGTGGGCACCTTAAGAGGTACTAAGGAGGAGGAGCTGTTTTACAACTAATTAGGTTAATTGGCAACAGGTCAGTAACAAGATTGGGTATAAAAAGAGCATCTTAGGGAGTCAGAGTGTCGTAGAAGAAAAAATGGGCAGAGTTTCACCAATTTGCGCCTAAAAATTGTCGAACAAATTCAGGATAATGTTCCACAATGTAAAATTGCAAAAGACTTTAAATATATCATAATCTACACAACC